AGGAAGGAGGGGAAGAGGGAGAGGGGAGAGGGAAGGGGAAGGAAGGAGGGGAAGAGGGAGAGGGGAGAAGGAGGGGGGAGGGAGGGGGAAGGAAGGAGGGGAAGAGGGAGAGGGGACAGGGAGAAAGAGCGGGGAGGGAGGGACATGTAAGAGGGGAGGAGGAGGAGAGGGAGAGAGAGGAGGGAAGGGGGAGGGGGAGGGGGGAGAGAATGGAAAGGGGGAACTGGTTTGGTCTGGGCGCTCTGCCTCAATGATCCCCTGTGGCGTGAATGCGGAGAACTTAGAGCTCACCTGATGCTCTCGCTGACATGCTCTCGGTAATATGATAGCAGGTGGCCTCACTCCAGGAAGAGACTTTGGTGTCCCTGAAAATGGCTTCCCTCCCCCTCCCCCTTCACAAGCTTTGCTTGTGCTGCTCCTTCTGCCTATAATGTCTCTCCAAAAATGCACCAGTAAGCAACAATTAGGTCCCACCTGATACCTATAAAGAATTTTAAAAACTTTAATGTGCTAAAACCAATGCTAGTAATGTTCTGAAGAGGCTAAGTAGCTCAGTTGCTACTAACAGAAAGTTCAAAGATTTAACTAATACAGGATTTTTCTCTCACATGAAACAAGCCTAGAATTAGGAAATCTAAGGCCAGGATGACTCCTCCACAGTGTTATTGGGGATTTTTCTTCTCTGCCTTGTGTAATGTCGAGTTTCCATCCTCAAAGTAGCCTCACGGCCCAAGATGGCTGCTGGAGATCCCACCATCAGTGCAAGAAGCAGGTGTAGGGGGCAAAAGGGGGCTGGTTTCCAGTTGTCTGTCTCCCCTTAAGGAGCTTTACAGATGAATCTATACATTCTGCTTCCATTTCACCAGCTCCCCCTTGCTCCAGGGGGGCTGGGCAAACTGCCCCCCAGGATGAAACCAGGGCTCATTCCTGAGGGCCGAACTGTCTGCTGCAGGCTGGCACCTCTGAGTCCAGCTGGCAGAGCTGTGCAGTGGCTGCGCCCTTCTGGAAGCACACGTTATCTACTGACAGCACAGAACGTAGCAGAATTCCCTAGATTATTACAGGGAAGCTGGGGCCCTGCCCCAGCAGAGGTCCCCTGATACAGACAAAACAAAGGAGGGATGGGGCGCTGAGTGCTAGGAAAAGCAAGAGGCCAGAGGCCTCCTGGAGGGGCTGCCCACCCCCAAGATGGCCCCACCATCCTCACATCCCGAGTCACGCCCTTCTGCAGTCTCTTCCCCCAGCGAGCCAGGCGGCCTGTGTGACTGGTGACCCGTGGTGGAGTGAGCTGGGTGCCCTCCGGGATGTAAGGTGCCCGTGGCTCTGCCCTTCCCTCCTGGGCCACCTGCTCCGGGGGAGCCGCCCCCACGTGCTGAGGACACGCAGGCTGCGCTGCGGAGAGCCTGGTGTGGGCAGGAGCGGAGGCCCCCAGCCATCAGCCGGCAGCAGCTGCCCGCGCGGGAGGGAATCTCCTGGAAGTGGGTCCCCGGCCCCGTCAAGCCTTCGGGTGAGACCACAGCCTCACGAGAGACCCCGAGCCAGAGCCACGCTGCAGACTCGCTCCTGATTCTTGACCACAGAAACTATTAGAGACACTGAATGATTACTGGTTTTTAAGCCACTAAGCTTTAGGGCCCTTTGTTTGACAGCAATAGGTAAGTAAAACCGTACTTTGGTCCTGAGGCCGAGCTGCTCTGTGGTGTCAGCATCTTGGAGTGGACCCGGTAGGATTTGTTTCTCACTCATGCACATTGGATGTGGGTGGGGGCTCCCTGCTGGTCACTCAGGGACCCAGTGCTCTCTGGCCTGATGCCAGGTCACTTCTCCCTTGCAGTGGTGGAGGTAGTCGTGTGATCATACCTGGACCTTCGTGGCCGGGAACGTATTGGTATAAACTCAGCCCCATCTGCCACAGGCAATCACAAGGAACTTCAGATGCAGGTAATACTGCTGCGGTGACGTGAACGGTGACATCCGAAACGCTGACATGCTCAGCGAGGTTTCATCAGGGTGGCGGGATGGGGTCTTCTTTCTACCTCTGCTGACTTGCATGCTTTCTCCAATGGGCACATGGCCCCTTGGCAAGCCCACTGGCCTCCTCCTCCATCTGTCACCTACGGTTCTGTGTGTGTACTTCCCACAGTACTTCATAACCAGACGAAAAGGCAGAATAAGAGACGTACACGGTGATGCTGGTGTTTTTGACCCCTAATCGAAGGCATGTCTATTGGCTTCACTGTCTCCTGTCCAGTGACATCTTCCCAGCACTCCCAAAGCTTCCCCGGGCATGGATGCAGGTGGGGGCACAGGCCAGGCAGGAGTGGGGATGCTTCAGAGAACACCAGGGTCCTGGTCCTGCCTCCCTGGGCTCCTGGGCGCTGCCCACTCAGCCCAAAATGAGACCTCCACCTAAGGCTGCAGACATCTCCCCCCTCACTGGTCCCTGATGCCCATGTTCCCCCACGATGCCCATGTTCCCCCATGATGCCCACAGCCCCCAGGATGCCCAGAGATGCCCCATGATGTCCACAGATGCCCCATGATGCCCACAGACCCCCATGATGACCACAGGCCCCCATGATGCCTACAGCCCTCATGATGTCCACATCCCCATGATGTCCATGTCTCCATGATGCCCACATCCCCATGATGCCTCAGTACCCATGATGCCCACAGACCCCTGTCATGATGCCCATGTCCCCCCATGATCCGCACAGCACCCCCAGGATGCCCATATCCCCATAATGCCAACATCCACACGATGCCCACAGTCCTCCTCATGATCCCCACAGCCGTCATGATGCCCACAGCCCCATGACGTCCACATCCACATGAAGCCCACATCCCCATGACATCCATGTCCCCGTGATGCCCACAGACACCCCTCACGATGCTCACAGTCACCCAGGATGCCCATGGCCCCCCATGATGCCTCGGGCCCCTGTGATGCCCGTGGCCTCCTGTTAATAGTAGGAACCCTCTGATGGTGGCCTCTCTCCCAGCCCACAGCCCTTTGACTGCACTGTCTGTTGTGCACCCTCAGGGAAGGCCCTGTCCTGGCTGTGGTGGCGGGAGGAGTGAGGTCTGGTCACAAGTTAGTCATCAGGGTAGGGGCGAGGGGTGGACACTGGGAGCCTGATGGACCAGCTCACCTCAAGGCTGGCCTCGGCCCTCTGGCCACATGGCCTCAGGGCATGGTCTCACTTCTCTGAACCTTGCGGGGGAGATGCCATGTTGGAACCACCTCCCCGAGCCTGGGTGCTGAGGAGCACTGACCTGTGACCCTGGTGAAGGGTGTCCTGGAGTAGGAGGGGCTGGCCCTCACGTGGCCCTCCCAAGAAGCCCAGCTGTAGATACCATTATCCCATTTTATAGACGAGAAAACGGAGGCCCACAGGGTGGTAGAGCCAGTGGGCGGAGGGGACAGCTTGAAAGCCCAGAGGCCCCCAAAGTGCTCTAACGTGGTGGCTGTGAGGGGTGGCCCCTGCCAGGGTGGGGGTCCCCAGCTCCACACGGGTGCAGGCCATGCTCGTGGGGACGGGGGCATAGGCGGTGATCAGGGCCACCGGCAAAGCTCAGACTTCAGAGAGGCCTGTGGGGAGGGGGTGGCCAGAGTCGCTGTGCTGGGGTCAGGGGCCGCGGCTGATGCCTCCCACGGAGGAGGCGACGCGGTGGCTGACCTGCCCCAGGCGGGAGTGAGGGCCGCGGGCGTCAGCAGTGGAAGCTGCCCGACAGTGGCCAGGCCGTGGTGTGCCCGACGTCCCCCGAGGTGCTCGGCCTTGGCTCAGGGCCTGTGGGAAAGCAGAACAGGTCCAGGCAGCCCGAGAACGACGAGGACCAGCCGTGGCGGGAGCCGGAAGCGGCGGCCTGCTCCCCGGGGGCAGCACAAAGCCAGACCCGTGGGCACCGGGCCAAGGTCCACCTCATTCATATGGATGATGGATGGTCCATCTGGCTCCGTGTCGGACGGGCCAGAGGGTATGGGCGGTGCGCTAGGGGTCAGTGGCCAGCCAGGTGTCCTTCTAACCTGGAGCCAGTAGCGAGGGGACACATGATCACTGCCTCACCCCACGGCCGCGTTGGCTGTCACAGATGGACACCGAGGAAGAGGAGAGGTCTGGTAAAGCTTCACAGAGAAAGATGGGAACAAGGGGGAGCAGGGGGAGGGAGGGAGACACGGAGACAGAGACAGAGGTGGAGACACCGAGAGACACACAGGGAGAGAGACAGAGTGGGAGGGAGAAGGAGGGACGTCAGGGAGTCGGGGGCGCTGAGACGCCCCTGGTGCCCCTCACTCACCTGTGCGGGGTGTTGCCCTTTGAAGCTGCTGCCCACCTGCTTCCGAGGTAGCCCAGGTGCGTGGCGGCCCGGAACTCCTCCAGAGAGTGGGCGTGCAGTGACGGGCTTGGGGTGCGCGTGTAATGTGGGTCTGACCTGAGGGACACAGGGGCTCCTGTGGGTGGTCCTGAGACAGGTTTCCGAGACCCGGCCCCACGGGGGTCAGGTGGGGGGGCCTCGCGCTGCCCCGGGGTGAGGGGCAGGAAGCGAGAACCGCGAGGTCGGCCTGCCCTTGCCCTGGTGTCTAAACGACATGCACTTAGGACTTTAGTAAAAATTCCAGCATTAATTTTTCTGCCTTTCACGTTTTCCAGAAATTGCTTAAAACACATGCTCTGATTAGAATGGCTGCGGATGACCCTTTTCCTCCTTCCCCCCATGCCAGGGTCCTGGCCCGGCCCAGCCGCGAGTGGAGGGAGGCCCCTGACCCGTGGGAGATGGGTTCCGGGGGCCACGCGAGCCCGTGGTCACGGAGGCGTCCGTGAGGGAAGGTGCGTGGCCCTCACCCCGGAGCTGGGCGTCAGGGAAGTGGGCAGGACGTCATCATGGGTTGTGGCAGCAACAGCGTCCTCCCCTCTGGTCTGCAGCCCGGTGGCGGCCAGGGAACTCATGGCTCTCACCAGAGCCTCAGAACTGGTCCTTGCGGGCAGCTGTCAGGACAGGTTCATAAGCTAAAAGCGTCCACCTGTTAGGAATGACGGAGCGTCACCTAACAGAAGTACGATTTCTCCCCTCCCATTGCTAGATCAGACCTGGGCAGCCAAGGCCTCGCCCAGAGGCTCGGTGTTGTCTGGGCAGTAGCTTGGGATGCTCGCGCCTTCGCTGCAGGGTCGCTGCCTCATGGTCATAACACGGCTGCCACAGGTCCAGGCATTGTGTCTGTGTGTAGGCCACGGAGAAACAGGGAGGAGCCACTGGCCGTATCTGCTCCCGTTTCTCCTAAAAGCAAAAGCCCTGAATGTCCCCCGCAGAGTGCCCTTTAGGTTCCAGGGCCACTCTTTGCTGCAAAAGAAGTGCGGAAATAGGGAACAGAGTTGACCCAATTGTGACCGATCACTGGGCTGAACATGTTGTCCCCGGGGCAGACGCTACCGCTGCATACACATTCTTTCCCTCTTGATTTTTAGGAACGGACCCCTCAATCTTATCTGGATTACCCCAAATAAAGCCCATCTCTCTATCTCCTTTACAGGGTAAAAATTAGTAACAGGAAACCCCACTGAAATGGAGTGGGGAGGTTTGGCGGGGGGAGCTCCCAGCCCTAGCTCGTGGTCAGTTGCAGACGCAACGGGAAGAGACAGACTTGACCTTGCATACTTCCCTTGTCCACCGACAGCTCCGCCGACGAGAAACCACCACACTTGGAACGCCTGGTTTCCTCCGATGGACTTTTAGTTCATAACCACCTTCCCAACCGATCTCTTTTCTCCTTAAAAAAGCATACCTCTCCCTTGTTCCCCAGATTTGCCTACAGTCTCACCACCGCTTACTGTCCTGGGCTGTGAATCTCTCTTCTTCCCCAATAAACCCATCTGTAGGTGGGGAAGTAACTGGCAGTTCGACGTTTGAGGTTGACCACGGCCAGGCGTGCCCACGCGCCTAGGCTCTGCTCCTGCACCTTGACTCGCTGGAGTTTCTTGGCTGAGAAGGAGGGGAGTGGCAGGAGCCCTGGCCTTCTGCCGGGCAGCTGAGTGGCCCACGGTCCCACGGCACCATCCCCGACCCGCTCATCCGACGGGCTGCTGGCCCTCCCCAGACAAAAACCTTCTCACCATCTCCAGCTTTTCCCCTCAGGTGGTGGTGAGACCACGGCAGGCCCGTCCCAGGCCTGGGCTGTGGCACGGGGGGCCTCAGAGGTCAGCACTGAATTGTGTAACTAACACCCATCTTGAGAATCATATACACGGACCATCAGGAATGTCAACACTTGGAATGGTGTTGTCCCCCGGAAAGTTCTGTCAGGCAAGGCCTCTCCGCCTGCTACAGAGGTCACCGTGGCTCAGACTCATCGTTCCTGTTCCACAATCACAGGAAATGAATGTCTCTTACGTATCCGATGCCCATTTGGGGCCCTTCTGAATGAAGCTGCTCTTCACTCTCGCGTGCGAGGACTCGTGTCAACATAGGTTTCTCACTTCTCCTGGGCAAACAGAGTGGAATTTCTGGTGAGTGCGTGTTCAGTGTGTCAGAAACTCCCAGACCGCTGTGGCCAGGGCCGCCTGCGTTCTTGCAGCGAAGCCCGAGTCCCAGTTGCTCCTCACCCCCACACTGGGGGTTTCTGTCAGATTTTCTGCCCCTCCAGTGGGTTTGCAGAGCCTCTCCCTGAGGTGTAGCGAGCACTTCCCACCCGATCGGTGACCTTGAGGATACTTGGACGTGCTCATGAGCCACTCGTGGGTCTTTTCTGGTGAAGTCTATTCAAGTCTTTGGCTCATTTTATCCATCTATCTATCATCCATCTATCTATCTATCTATTTATTAGAGAGAGAGGTCTTTGGCTCATTTTAAAATTTGGGTGATTCGTCTTTTTAGCCTGGATTTTTTAAGGCGTTCCTTATATATGATACATATCTACCTGTTGACCTTAAGTAAAAGTTCTTTTGCCAGACAAAGAATGGGTTTATTCAGGAATGGCGGAGAACGGCAATCTGGGACCAGCAAGCTGTGGCAAAAGCACCAGCTAGCGCAACACACAAAGCCGAGGAACATTATTTGGTGGCGAGTAAGGAGGATGTTGGGAGGGTGGTTTTGAATCCAAGTCCGTTGGAGAGAAGCGGGAGCTCAGGGTGAGGCGGCTCCTCGCGGGCTGAGCCGCAGGGCTGGTGGGGTTTCTGTGGGAGACGCAGAGCACATCTCCCCCTGTTGGGGCCTGCGGTTGAGGGTTCTCTGCCGCTGAGAGGGGACACGCGGGGACACAGGGCCGTGCGCTGTGAGAGCTCCCCCTGCTGGCCGCTGGGCTCTGCTTCACCGAGGTTTCCTTTTACTAATTTTCACATTTCCCCCTTTTGTTTTTTTGTTTTTTTTAAGATTGTATTTACTTATTTGACAGAGAGAGACACAGAGAGGGAACACAAGCAGGGGGAGCAGGAGAGGGACAAGCAGACTCCCCGCAGAGCAGGGAGCCGGATGCGGGGCTTGATCCCAGGACCCTGGGACATTGACCTGAGCCGAAGGCAGACGCTTAATGACTGAGCCACCCAGGCGCCCCCACATTTCCCCCTTTTGATCAAGATTTTTTTTTTTTCTGAAAGCATCACTGATCAAGGGTGAGGTTTTCCGAATTCAGTGGCCTTTGTCTCTTGGCTCCAGGAAGGACCTTTCCTGGGTGTCATGTCCCATGTTGGAGGGAAATTGTACAGATTGGAGGCCCATTGGAGTAACGAGGAAGGTCAGGAGGGAGAAACTCTCAGGCACTTCCCTTCCATTGTCCACATTTGTCAAGATCGCAAGCACTGGAGATCATCCCCTTAATGTACATCATTTTTACACAGGTTTGGCGGGCAATGAAATACAAAACTCAAGATAATTATACAAAACAAAAGAAGTTACATGACGATTCCAAATTGTGTGATGGTTCTAAACCAGGAATCTAGGTCTGAAAGGAGCCAACTGAAATATTAATTGGCATTTATTCCGACTTAGAGGGGAAAGGTTCTCCTTACAAGGGCAAAGCTGGAGTCCTGTATACCTTCCGGAAGTTTCTGCCTGGAGCAGCCACGAAAGCTGACTAGTGGACTGCAAGAGCTGGGAGAACTAACCAAGTACGTTTGGGAAGATACTGTGTAGATATAAATATGAAACAACAGCTGATGAACTTTTTGCAAAAACAGCACAACTTCGGAGACATTGTAAAACAGTGTTGTCATCTCAAAAGAACTGTTTGGAACCAAATCTGCTATGGATAAACAGCCTGTAAGCCTGCCAACTCGGAGACCATGAATTTGGATAAGAATCCAAAGTCAGTTAATAGGTCAGAAGAAAGAAGGCTTTGTGAATTCTGAAATTTCCAACCCTTTGAAGAATGCAAGGGAAAATGAACCTGTCCCGGGATAATAATGAGGCTGTTTCTAAAAGACACACTCAAAAGAAGTTTCCCCCTTTCACAAGGATTTGGATAAAGCAGTCTTGTCTTCCTACAAAAGAGAGAGGAAAACAGTGAGAAGAAGGTGTACTGGCCTGGTCCAGACATCGCGGGAAAGCTGTGTGGTCAGATGTCATCTGCTTCAATTCTGGGAAATCTGTACTTTGGGGTCACCAGATGGCATGCAGGGCCAGTCAGGGTTTGGTGCTTTCTTTGCATGTCTTACATGAATCCGAGAGCGTATTCCCTGGAGTTCGGCGGCACTTTCCAGCGAGAGTGAAGAGAGTCTTTCTGGAGGCACCTTTTCTGACAGACGAAATCTCCAGGTTGCAAGGGGTGATGCAGGTCATTGTCCCCCTGGGAGCGCACTGTGGAAAGATCGCTCTGCCAAACCATGGTTATTTTTAATAGAAGCAGCTAGGCCTTGAGACCACCGAACTGGATCTCCCTTTTTCAGCTGTGGGTCAGAGGAGGCAGGGGCCACGCGGGCCAGATGTCCTGGGACTCTCTGGGGGCGGTGAGAGTCGAGGAGTTCCAAAGAGAGTGGATCTGAGATTTAGAAGGATCCACAGCAGTGCTTTCGGCCAAGGTGTGCGGACGGTCTCCACAGATGTTGCCAATTGAGACTTCGTGATGCTGTCAGTGAGCGTGACTAACTGTGAGGACTGAGGATGGTGTGCACCGTGCAAGTGTTGTTAACACCCGCCCAACAGTGCAGATTTGTCGAAGCACCTGACCGGTGAAACGGGTTCCCCGATCGCTGTGAAGTTGGAGAGGGGTCCCCAGGCAGGGATTCTCTTTCTCACAGAATTTTAGCCACAGAAGAAGCAGTGGCCTGTCTACAAGGGAAAGCTTCGGTCCAATGACAAACATACAGACCGCAACTAAAATGTGTTTCTATCCCCGAGATAGGGAAGCTGCAGGAGATCCACTTGCCAAACTGGAGTGGCCCTGCAGGCAGTCCAGAGTCTGGGAGCCGTGCAGTTTTCCCCGGACTATGCTTTGAACATAGGGATAAGCATGGTAGGCATTGTGGATTCTGCCAATATCCGTGGAGATTTTGCCCATAAGGAGGGTGGCAGCTGATCTAATCGAGAATAATGATTAGTGTCTTTGGAATCAGCTCCGGTTAGCTTAGAGATGGAGCAAAAAAAACATGTTGAAGGGCTATTTGATTTACTTCTTTGGATACTTTGATGGCTCCTGTCACTCGAGAACGATTTCCCCCTTTGGGGAGGAAGAAATTCCAGCATGAAATTTTTCTAAGAGATCTCAGCCCAATAAGTGACTAGGGGCAGAGGAACTAAAGAGAAAAGGGCATGTATCTCTCAAAGGGCCTGGACGGAGGGACAGGGCTCAGGGACAGGCACCTGTTTGGGTGATTAGAGGTCCCACTCTGGGAGCTGTTTGCGCTCCAAGGCATGGGCTGCCTCGTGGTGGTGGGCTGAACACTGAGAGTCAATACAGACGGAGATTCACTCCCAGTCTGGAGGGTGGTTTCTCCGGGTGGAATAAGAGGGAGGACTGGGAAAAGCCAAGAGTTCCTTAGAGCCCCAGCACTGGGACTTAGGAGGACACTGGGCGGGTTTGGTCAGAGGGTCGGAGGTGCTGGAGCACTTACACTGATAACAGTGTTTCCCCCAATGTCCTGGCCCTTTGCAATAACAGTAAAAACCATGAGGTTTTTGGCTTTGGGGGCCTCCATTTGCCAGAGCTGAAAATTGAGAATTTTAGCGGCCTTTGTTTTAGGTGACTCATCCAGGATTGGAGCAAGCTAGCTTGCCAAATTGACTAAATCTGGGGCAGACGTAGTTTCACATTCCATGCTGGTCCTATTAACTAAAAGAGAAAGGTCCCAGTTTGGCCCCTTAAAAAACATAGTTAAGTGATGCCTGGTTGGATTCAACATCTAAAGGAAGACCAGAACTTTCTTTAAACACCATTTGGAATCAGTGAGCATAACCTAACAAATCGACTTGTTGGATCACTGTGTTGTACACCCGAAACTAGGGTAAAGTTGTGTGTCAACTCTATTTCAATAAAACAAGCAACAGAAGATTGAAAGATTTTGACTAATATTCTTTCAAACTACCATCTGTCATAAGCAAAACAGAAAAACAGCAAATAAACTGGGGGAAAAACGTGGAACTATATGACAGTTAAATTGTCAATATTTTTGGATATTAAAAGTTATTTTAAGTCAATAATGTAAAGCCAAATATTCCAATGAAAATATAGAAGAAAAAACAACAAAAAAGAAAATATAGAAGTAAGAAATGAACAGATAATGCATGAAAGAAAAAAAATACCAAAGACTTACAATATAAAAGATATTTTACAGTAATAAATAAATACTTCTAATCACGGAATCAACTCTATTGGCCGTGTTGACCTAGAAAATGTGTATTAACTTTCTATGCCTCAATTTACTAATTTGTGAAATTGGGATTAAAATTAGTAACTAATTTACAAAGTTTTTGTGAGATGATATAAGATAAATATATACTCACCACAAAAAGTGTTCATTAATGTTGACTATAATTTATCATAATTTTACAAATTTTACCCCCCAAATAAACACATTTAAAAAATACCTATTGCTTGTAAGGATGTATGGAAATGTGCACTTATGTGTTGCTTGTGGTTATGTAAATTGAAATTAATATCTAAGAATTAGATTTGAAATTACACATCAGAATACTTCAGGTAATATTGCTTACAGTGGTATTAAAGTAGAAGCAACTCGGAAGTCCAAGGTGGGAACGGAATATTAGCTAAAAAAATTGTAGTTCATTCATACAATAAAATACTTTTCACCCATTAAAGTGATACTATAGAATATTATATAACATTTTAAAATACTCATGTTCTTATGTGACAAGGCAGATTTCAAACAGCATATAGAAAGACCACCTGGAGTCTATCGTGTAGTGACGAGCAGGTGCATCAGGATTTTGTGGGCAAACCTGAATCCTGTTCCAATCAGCAGGCTTGGGAGGAGCTCCTGTAATTGCTGGGTGGAGATCACCAGCAAGCGATCTTGCGTCTGGCCCCAGGTAGGGGTCTGTTTCTCTAAATTTCTTTCAGGTTAGTTAGTTTCATCTCGTGTTCTGCCCGGTACTCACCAATAAAATGTGGCCTAATTGATATAAATCTGAGAAACCAGGTTGGTAAGTTTGCATAACTATTTTAATTCTTCAGCAGACCAGCGGGGGTCCTTCGTCACTTTAGGAAACTCTTTGTGGCTCTCGATTCGGCCTAAGTCCAGGGAGCATCAGAAAGTTGGGGTTCATTTGGATCCTCAGAAGACTTGAGTTTAGCGGGGGTGGGGAGAGGCTCAGAGGAACAGCGACGTTGGTTGAGAGTCAGAATGGGAAAGCTGAGGGTGTAGGGGAGGTGGGGACAGCACGCAGGGGGCTCCGGAGCCCATAGTGGGCTCCACGGGTGGGACCCGAAAAGAGGGGCGGGGGAGGGGCCTCAGAAGCCATTTTGACTTCTTTGGCTTGTTTGTCCGCCTCAGTGTACAAATTGTTGTTGCTTTTTTTTAAAGATTTATTTATTTATTTGAGAGAGAGAGAGAAGAGAGCCTGCAAGTGGAGGGACAGAGTGGGAGAGAGAGAAAATCTCAAGCAGACGCCCCACTGAGCGCAGAGCCTGACTCGGGACTTGATCCCACGACCCCGAGGTCATGACCTGAGCCAAAATGAAGAGTCGGACGCTTAACTGACTGAGCCACCCAGGCGTCCCTTCATCTACAGATTGTGTTTTGCAGAGAGGGAGCTTTAGATTCCCGGCCACTTTTGGAAGCTGGAAAATACTGGTCAGTAGCACCCCCACTGTTTCAAGAACTTTAGAGCCTTGGTTGTCCGATTCGGCTTTGAGAAAAGTTTGGGGAGATGCGTGTTCCCGTAATGGCCACTGAAGTTCTAAAATCGTGGTTTAGGGCGCCTGGGTGGCTCCGTGGGTGAAGCCGTCTGCCTTCAGCTCAGGTCATGGTCCCAGGGTCCTGGGATCGAGCCCCTCGTCAGGCTCCCTGCTCAGTGAAGTCTGCTTCTCCCTCTGCCCCTCCCCTGCTTGCGCGCTCTCTCTTTCTCTCTCTCTGTCAAATAAATAAATAAGGAGTGCCTGGGTGGCTCCGTCGTTGAGTGTCTGCCTTCGGCTCAGGTCATGATCCCAGGTCCTGGGATCGAGCCCCGCATCGGGCTCCCTGCTCCGCGGGAAGCCTGCTTCTCCCTCTCCCACTCCCCCTGCTTGTGTTCCCTCTCTCACTGTCTCTCTCTGTCAAATAAATAAATAAAATCTTTAAAAAAAAATATTAATCTTGGGCGCCTGGGTGGCTCAGTCGGTTAAGCGACTGCCTTCGGCTCAGGTCATGATCCCGGGGTCCTGGGATCGAGCCCCGCATCGGGCTCCCTGCTCCGCAGGAAGCCTGCTTTTCCCTCTCCCACTCCCCCTGCTTGTGTTCCTGCTCTCGCTCTCTGTCAAATAAAATCTTAGAAATAAATAAATAAATTCTTTAAAATAAAAGAAAATCCTGTGGTTTAGTTGGTCCATTTAGTTAGAAATGCACATGTGGAGGGCCTGCAGTGTTCACACATAAGGCTGGCCGGGATCTCAGGGCCAGGGGAGGGGGGCACCCTCAAAGCATTTTGACAACTTGGATCCCGTTTCTTAGAGGTTTTTCTCCAGAGCAAAGAGAAAAGTCCCTAAACAGCACACTTTGAACAGGAACCGTCTGTTCCAAAAGAAATCTGACCAAAGCCAGCACATTTCCAGTTAGGAACAGTTAGTTTCCAAAAAGGAGTGGGACCAAAGACCAAACGAGTACTCTCAGAAAGAAGACTTAAAACAGATCCCGATTAAGCCTGGAGAGCTCAGAATGCAGAGCTGGAAATCCAGGAGACACGCCGCTCAAGCCCGAGGGTTGCGGGGAAGCGGGGCGGTCAGCGGGTTCTGTGGCCACCACCTGCCTGCTCGCCAGCCTCGGGTGGTTGACGTCTTCTCTGGATCCCGCTTCTCTGGCCCCAGGTAGTGTTGACCTGAAAAATAAAACTTTGTTATTTTACCAGCAAAAACGGACTCATTTGGGAATAGCAGAGAATTGCAATCTGGGACAAGCAAGCTACCACAAAACCATAACGTAGTTTAGTGCAACAAATCAACGAGAGGAGCGCCGTTTTCTGGAGAAGGAGGACATTGTTTTGCAAGCCAGTCACTGGGGAAAAGCAGGAGTTCTGAACCATGGCGGTTTTGCGCTGGCTGGGTTGCAGGGGTGGTGGGTTCCTCCCAGGAGCTACACCCCTTTCCTGGCATTGAGGGTCCTTCTGTACCTGGCGTGGGCAGTGGGTGCGAGGCCCCCTGTGCCCCACTCCCCTCCGTTAACTTTCACAAGTCCTTTTTGGGACATGGGTCCCGTGGGTATTTTTCCGAGTCTGCGCCTTGTCTATTGTTTTCCTGATGGTGTCTTTGGTAAGCAGAAGGTTTTATGATTATGTCTCTTGGCACCCTGTCCCGGAGGCCCCTCTTCCCTGCGGTCTCTGAGCACTGAACACCCCCCACTGCCTATCCTGTGATGACATTTCTCCTTCAGCCAGCGTGGTCTCAGGCTCTCCCAGTGCAGGGCACCGTGGGTCCGCAGTGTGGGGTGAGGACTTCTAGCGCACGGCCATGGGCCCCTTGTGACCCCTGGTGCCGCCCTCCTGTGGCCTCTTGACCCGGTTCCCCGCTCTAGGCTCACCCTGCGTCCAGCCATCAGGCATAGCGCCTGCGCCGTGGTGGCTGCAGCCCAGTCTGGCGCGTGCAGACCCGACTTCCCTGGCGTCCACGCCTTCCCCAGGGAGACCCGTCCCTTCCAAGCTGGCCCTCTCTCCGCCCTGGGGTCTCCTGCAACTTCTTACGCCCTATCAGCGCTTGCTCACTCATGGTACTAATGTCCCCCTAAATGTCCCTGACTGGATGCAGACTGATGTACAGACATAGATTAGCTGTAGATCGTGTCTCTGTGACCAATGTGACGTGATCTACAGCTAATCTACATCTGTATCTAATCCAATCTATATGCAGATATCTACCTGTTCTTTTTTTTTTTTTTAAGATTTACTTATTTATTTTAGAGAGAGAGATTGGGAGAGGGGTAAAGGGGAGGGAGAATGTCAAGCAGACTCCCTGCTGAGTGTGGAGCCCGATGAGGGGCTCGATCCCACGACCCTGAGATCGTGACCTGGGCTGAAATCAAGAGTCAGACTCAACCGACTGAGCCAACCAGGTGCCCCCTACCTATTTTCTTAAAAACATCTTAACCACTGTTAAGTGTCCAGTCCGGTGGTGTTACGTGTGTTCGCACGGTTCTGCAGCCATCCTCCCTGTCCGTCTCCAGAATGTTCCGTCTCCGGCTGAGACCGCGTCCTTATTAAGCACTACCGCCCCCCCCCCCCCCGCCCCGTGCCCCGGCACCTGTCGTCCACTCTGTGTGATCTGATGACTCCGGGGACCTCACACGGTGTTTGTCCTTCTGTGATGGGCACTCAGCCTCGTGTCCTCAAGGCCCGTCCATGCCGTGGCAGATGCCAGGGTGTCCTGCCTCTTGAGGGCTGAGGAACGTCCCGTGGCCACTGAGCACACGAGCTGCGTGTGCGTTCGCCCGGCCGGCTGCTGCTGTGAAGGATGCGGTTGTGATCACGGACACGCGACGCGATCTGTGGATGACCGCAGCGGGCGTCGATGATGGTGGTTGTGACCGGGCATTGGCTTCGCACTGAGCCAGGGAGGTGAGGCTCAGGAGGGCCACATGGGAGGGCGGGGGCAGAACTGCCAAAGCTCTCAGCTCCTAGGATTCAGAAGACAAGCAGGCAGGCAGGCATGTCTGGGGCCTGGGGCCGGCCTGCGCCGTGCTGTCCACGGAGGCCCAGGGTGTGAGTGCTGTTCACTCCCTCCGCACACTGTTGCGGCCTCTCTCATGCACACTGTCACATGCTCACACCCAAAAAACACAGTCACACGCATGTACACACTCATGCTCACACATACACACATGGGCACACACACAGAACTGAGTGCTCACACACGCTCTCTCACACACAGCTCCTTCACCCTGCTGACCCTCACCTACCTGTCCGAGTGTCTGGGGTGAAGGGCTCTGGGTGAGGACTCGGCCCGGGCTGGCAGCCCCTGAGCGCCCCTGCTCACGGCGTGGTTGCTGGGGCCCCCCTGGGAACGCTGCCACTGGTCTGTCTGCTCCTGGGGCATCCGTGGAACATTTGCAGCTCTGGATGCTTCTCCTCTGGCACTCAGAGGACTTTCCTGCCACCCAAACAGCAGATGGTCAGGAAATGAAGACCGCTCCAATACCAACCAGAGGAAAATCTAATTCAGTTGGCAAAGTGTATGGTCAGAAAAGCATGTGGGTCGACACATGCCGTCTTGTTAGGGTGCTGGCCTTCAGAGACCGAGGGCCGACGACCAGCAGCTGGTCCAGGGCTGGGGTGCTGGAGTGTGGGGTCTTCT